ATCTAGATGGACTCATAGTTAGCCTTTCAATTCTTATATCTGTTCAAATGGCTTAATTTAACAGCAACAGGAGATTCCTCAATTGACATAATCCATGTGAATCCATGTGAATCCATGTGAATCCATGTAAATATAGGCTAAAAGGTAAAGTTATAGAGCAGTACCAAGGACATCTCATTGACAACCTCTCCTATATGATTATTTCATACATTCTAATGTCATGATAATAGGATTAATGTATGTCACACTTGCTGAAATCAATATGTTCAATCAACAGACTTTCCCTAAACTTTCTGAGAATTACCTGATTAACCTGGTTTTCATATTTAGGAAAATATTTTTTTAGTAATAAACAGGGGATATTTAATGTTTTGTATTTGAATACGAAATTTGATTAAGTGGGGCAAGATTTGTTAGATATATTCACGAGTGTGAAGCACTCTATGAGTGGAAAATTCTTGAACATAACGTAAAACAATATAAAATCAATAAATCATTTGAGTTAACAGTAACTTTTTATCACCTCGCAACGAATTACGTCACTTCCGTTCCACAAAAAAGGACAAACTAACTCACCCAGCCATATGACAGCTTACTATATCCCATCCAACTCTGATGCAATGGGATAATTTTGCAGAATTTTTGAGTATTACTATGATATGGTATAGATTTACTTGATATATCAATTGATTGATTGATTGATTGATTGTGTATTGTTTAAGAATGTTTCACTCATATCAAGACGTCCCCATATACAGTTAAAGGGCTTCAAGTTTAATGTAGACCTTAACTCGGCACATTGGACCAATGAACATTCAGGGTTCTTTATTGTCCTAACGCCTATCGTGACACGACCTTGCTTTTTAAAGTACCTTCAAATTGCCGTTCGCTTTCTGATGTATATGGCACGCCAAATTCACAAAAATGAGCTAAACATAGTTTCACAGTCGATAAACTAGGTTTATCGGTTGTAAACTATAATTTACGGACTGTAAACTATAGTTAACTACGTTAATCTATATTTTACATCTGTAAACCATAGTTAACGCGATAATCTATGTTTCACAACCGTAAACTAAACTTAACACCCAAAACAATCATTTGCGATTGCAAAACATAGATTATCTGATAAATACAGTTGCACAATTTGTAAACTATGGTTTACAACTCTTAACTATAGTTAACGATCTGATAAATATAGTTTCAAGATTTGTGAAACTATGACTAACAAACTCTTAACTATAGTTTACGATTGTAAATTATAGTTTACAAACGTGAATCTATGTTTATCAACAAAATCTATTGTTAACGCTTTATTACAGACAGATAAACTTAGATTAGCATTCGTAAACTATAGTTAACAACCGTTAAATATAGTTTTACAGATGAAAACTAGAGTTAACGATTTGTTAACTATATAGTTCACGGTTTGTAAATTATAGTTTACAGTCGATAAACCTAGTTTATCAACTGTGAAACTATGTTTAGCTCATTTTTGTGAATTTGGCGTGCCAAAGATATATCGTTACGTTTTTATCGACTTAGGTCAGTCGCGGCCGTGATCTTACATGACCACATATCAAGATGCTGACTTCAGTCAGTCCCCTCACAACGGAGCTGGAGTGGATATAATAACGCGATTTTACGTATGTGTGGGCAGGATAGTTTGTTCTAGTGTGGATAACGGAAGTACAGTTTTGTTTGTTCCTGTGTGCAAAACAGACGTGGTGTAATTTGCATCGGAATGGATTTCGATTGCTGCCTTGATTTAAAGATAATCTCTCTTTCAGTGTCCTTGTTGTTGTTAAGATATTTTTCTTGTTACTTAATATTTACTTGAAAAGAATTCAAGGGTTCGGGGGGGGGGGTAAAACATGATAGATGAATGAATAGAAAGAAAATATACATGTCCTAAATCGATGGATCCCATTAATACGTACGATAATTTTATGTAAAATAAATGTAATTTATGATGAAGCAAGAAAATCAACAGTCTCGTTTTAAGTCATCATTTTGTGAGTTCTCGATACAATGACCTTGTCAGCAAATACAACTTTTCATTAAGTCAAATGCTGACGGATTCTTTTCATACTGATTGTTAGGCTATTTTTGGACTTTTGCGAGAAGCACTGACTTTTACATTGACAGTTTATTATCATTTTACAAACAGTGTGACAGTTTGCTAAAATTTTGTGTGCTGGTTATCATTTTACTCATCGATTGGATCAATGAAATCAATACTGATTTGCTTATGAAACTAAGAATACAACAATACCCCGATAATACTGGCAATCACATTGAATGATTGTTTCCCAGTACGGCATTTGTAGTCAGAAGCAACACGTCGTCAGTCAAAGCCCGTTTTCTGTCCTGAAAAAAGCATGTATTATATTTGTTGTGATTTGACCGGATGGGTTCTTAAATACGTATATCATGTATAAGAAAATTTAAAGAATGGAATTAGTGAGGCTACTCTGCTACTGTTGTACTACATAGCTATCAATATCATCATTATAGGAAGTAAACCTTGCCTTGTCCGTTTACATGTAATTGTTGTTTATTCAATGCGATTGGACAGTATTGTCAATGTTATTACTGGGTTCTGTGTTTCATATGCAAAGTATTATTGATTCCATTGAAATCAAACATCCAATCGATGAGTAAAATAATCAGCATACAAAATTTTTGCACGCCCTATCAAGCAAACTGTCACGGTGTTAGTAAAACGATAATACTTTGAAATTTTAACCTGTATCATGTACGGAGGTACACAATTGATAGTAGATAAGAAAACATTTAAAGTGGTCATAGGTATGGGTTAGGGGCATGTGAAAAGCGAGAGTTGAGGGTAGGATGGCTGTCATTTTCTTCAAGGACAATTTATTTGTGCTTTGAAATGACCCATTATTTTCGCTAAATGAAATGATGAGCTAAATATTTATATCGTAAAAGAGCTTCCGTACATTGTCCTAGAGTAAAAGTGAGCTGTCAACTGTAAAGGTCAGTCCCCCTCCCAATATTCCTTTTACACACTAAGTTGCCATGACAAGGCAGGGGTTTAAAAATACGGTGGTCCGAGGTCCGGGACCTAAAGTTTATGGGGGCGGACTAGCTTATTGTTACCCTCTAATAGTCCGTCGGACTAGTAGTTTTGAGAAGAAGAAAAAATTAATCCCGTGATTTTTGGGGCCGATTTCGGGCCGAAATTCGGCCCAATTCCAATTGAGAATATGCCTGTATTTTCCCTAAATATAGTGGAGGTTATCCCAAAGAAAAACTTACGAAATATGTAATCAAATTAAGTTTGTTTATTGCATGTTTTAAAGTAAAGTTCAAGCAGGTTTTCAGTGGTTGTTCAGCCACGTTGGATTTCTTCATAATTAGATAATTCATCCCACTATTGTTCTTGATGCAAGTAATTACTAGAAAATTCACACCAAGAATAGTCTTGATTTGTTATAACAACTGTTTGTTTATATAATACAAAGACAAAAACAAAGTATTTTGACAATGCTTTTAAATGACTGGGTTTTCTGGAAGATTCCCCAATTAAATTGAAGCTGAAATTCCCAATTCTTGAGGCACAAGCCCCAAGCCACAAAGTACTGACAAAAACCCCATTGTAATCAAATTGATTAAAAATTGTTTAAAACTAAGCATATTTTTCTTTAAACTTTGGACTAGTAATTTTATGATACGGACTAGTGAAATTTACTTGCTTAATAGTCCTTGGACCAGTGAATTTTTGGGGAAAATTTAAACCCCTGCAAGGAGACCACGGCGGGTGTGAAAAGTCGGCAGGGAATGCTACATGTATTTCCTCCATGGCACCTGATCCCACCTCTGATGTTTTGGAGGTCCGTGTTTGCTATGCTCCTCTTTTGTATTGTTAAGGGTCCTCCACACCATGTGACTTGTGACGTATATAGAGAAAAAATACTTTTACTTCCGGTTTTATCTAGTTTATGCATGGCTGATTTGGCCTAGCACCGTTTGTAAAAGAAAGTTTGCAGTACACTGAGAGCGACACCTAATAATAAACAATGAACACATGGCATGATCACGGAGTGACCGATGGAAAAAGATGTTCGGGGTTTTTTAAAATAAAAGAATAACAGACGTCTGGGATTATGTTACATAATAATTCGTAAACAACAGGTACCGGTATGACGAGAAACGTTTAGGTTATTTCTACTTTCAGGCTAATCAACCGAGTCTGCTTTGATAGTTGAAATTTCGGCACTAATTTGTGCGTTTCAATAATACATTATCTCATTGTGTGTTTATAAATATTGATAAAATAGTGTGCGTTTCTAGTTTTCCTCTTTTATATCTGTCCAATTCAGTGGTCAGTAAAGGAGAAATTACTAAATATAGTATGGTGACGTATACGGAGACTTGCCAAAGTTTTTGAGTCCCGGGCAACAGGAAAGATAACTCCAAAAAGGAACTTTGATACCAAAGATTTTGAAAATATTTTTTCTACATCAGTGCTAAATACTAAATATGCTGAATACTTTTAATTTTAATAAATAATTTTAATTCAATTTTTTGATGTAATCTAATTCATTAATGTTTCTTCTCTACAAAAGGAGTCCTTATTGACTTTTCTCGAGATGTATTTTAGAGAAAATAAGTTTTATGTACTTTTTATAAATAAAATAAATTTCTGTAAAAAATAAGTTGATCGATTAAATTAAGTTTTTATGGTTATTCTGTGAGCTTAAAAATCAACGAAAGGGTAAGACAAAATTTGTTGTGCTAGGTTTGAAAACGCCTTGGAAAAAATTTCTTGAAACTTGTGAAAGAATTATTTTTAAAAATCAGTATAAATTACATTTTAATCCCTAGACAGTTTTTAAAGGTTGATATGCTCGTTAAAAGTAATGCTCAATAATATGAAAACATAAGCTGTGGGTGTGTGGAGGATTTTGAGCACGAATACTGTTTGATATCTCCACATCTTATTTATATAATGTGAGACTCTCTCTTTTTCTTACCCCTATAGTTGACCTGTCCATCGCCATCGGAATCTGCCTCTCTAATCATGTCGGTGATTTCTTCGTCCGTGAGCTTCTCGCCTAGATTGTTCATCACTAGGTGGAGTTCCTCTTTACTGATATACCCATTCCCGTCCTTGTCGAATACTTGGAATGCCTCTCTCAGTTCCTCTTCCGGGTCACTGCATTCTGCCTGCTTCTTCGCCATCATATGTAAAAATTCATCAAAATCTATGGCACCATTTCCTAGAAAAAAGGAGTGCGGAAAAAGTCAAATAATATGTTAACGTCAGATCAGATTTTACTAACTTCAAAAACAAAAAAGAAATTGCGCGAATCACAAATGGATTTTTATCCTGTAAAAGATTCGTTTAGAAATCTTTTAAAGAAAAGTTAATAAGAGAACACACAAATTTAAAAAAAAAAACAGTTTGTGTAAATTCATTGTGCAGATTACTTACTAGTTACTCTTCAATATCAAGAAATATAAGTTATGTACTGCTAATAGATGTAAAGATATAAAGAGTTATATTAACATCAAAATCATTTTAATGAACTGCAGTATCAATTTCATGTAAATTAATAGCTAGCATAGTTAAAGTCAAGTTCGCATTCCCAAACATAATTTATCAAGGATGTCCCGATATTCGAGGAAGGCATCAAAATAGAACTAAATCCAAATCAAATCTTAGTTCATTTTTTCCCAGTAAATATCCAAACTGGAAACATATGAGTCAGACCGTGTGGAATCTTTTATTTCAAGTTTACTGGAATGTACGTTTTACTTTGAAGTGAGGTTGATATTCCATGCTTCCTGACATCATTGACAGCTGATTTTTCAATAAATACGGAACTCTAAAATATTAACTTACTTTGTCATTTGTAAAATTACTTTGTTGAAAAAATCTGATTGTACCCACAAATACTCTGAAGTTAAAATTATTTGCATTTCTGATTGACAAATCTATGTGTTTTTTGGAGACAAGATCATCCAACAAACGATTGGTCCCTTGGGTATCAATTACGCCCCATTATTAGCAGACCTATTGTATTTTTGTATAAAAAGAAAACACATGCTGGGTGCAACATTTCAATATATCGACGATGTATTGTCAATTAACGATAGTTATTTTCATGTCGAAACGATATACCCTGATGAGCTTGAAATAAAGATACCACAGAGTCTAACACATCTGTTTCATATTTGGATGTTTAAAAAGATATGACTGACTTTTTTTTCATACTGATTGTTAGGCCATAATTTACATATTGAGTTGTTCACGGATTTTTCCGGGTTTTTTTTTGGAACATAACAAGGAGCACACGGCGGGTGTGACATGTTGGTAGGAGATGCTCACTATTATCCCACCTCTGATGTTTTGGAAGTCTAGGATGCTTCGCTTCTATTTTGTCATATTTAATGGACTTTTGAGCTCGAATGTTGTCCGTCATCTCCACATATTTCGTTACAAAATGACGTGTTAAGTTTATATGGTGATGCAGTGCATTCAAAATATGTGTGGAATGGTATAAATTTTAAATGATGCTACGTGATATGTGAAATTTAAGTACTTTAAGTACAAATAAAAAGCATTGATATGAAAATACATGAATATTTTATCAGAAAATTCTGCATGTAGTTTAAATGAATTTCGATTTATATAATCCCGACAATGCATAATACACATACAGTGTGGATCTTAATATAAGACGAGGTTATAATAAAGTCTTCCTTGCAGTTCCTTCCTCCTACGTGTAATGAAAACAACTTTGAAACTGTTTAGATTTGAAATGCGTATGGTGTTCATTGTACTTTTCTCGTACCATGTATATTTTTCTATTTCCATATTTAGTTTTCTTCGTCAATAGTTTATTTTATTCAAAAACTTCTACATGAGAAGATGAAACCAATTTCTGTGGCCTTCTATTGGACATTCAGATATATCGAAGATGTTTTATCAATTAACAATATACATGTTCATTCATATCTCGATTCGGTGTATCCTAGTGAACTTGAAATAAATGACATCATAGAGTCTAGCTCGCTTGTTTCATTTTAGGAATTTTAGAGTCTCTTAATCTAAGTAACGATTGACATTAAGACCTACATGAACCAACAGAAAATTGTGAGAGAATTCTCGACTGTTGAATAAAATATTTCGTTTGAATGCAATTAGACACTCAGCGCTTTAAGACTAGCAACGTAAGTTATGCTAAAGGTACAATTTTTAAAAGTATGTTTCTTGTGTCAAGACTAATATATTTGACTTCTTGTCCTTGACTTAAGTGTTTGTCATTTTTACGAAAAACATCGTCATATTTCATGAACGGTTGGTGCTAGAGATTTCGTATGTCATATGCATTTAACAAGGCCTTACATTAGGTACCAACAATTTAAAACTTTTTACCTTGAAGTTGACTTAATTTAACAAAAAATTACATTGGTTTTACTATGTCATAAGCATAACTGTTTCAAAATGTTGTATATTCTTCATCTCTCATTTGGCTGCAACTATGGAGCATACATAGTGTATTCAAAGTCAACACATACCGTCCTCGTCAATCTCTCGAATCATGTTCTCGAGTTCTTTAACAGTAGGTTCCTGTCCCAGGGACCGCATTACCACGCCCAGCTCGCTCGTGGTGATACTTCCATCTCCATCTTTGTCAAACAAATTAAAGGCCTCACGATACTCTGTGAGAAAAGAGAAATAATCCCAATGTAGCCAAGGAGCAAAGCATAAGAGTTTCTATACGATTCATACAATGCAGGTAGTTTTAATTATACGTCATAATATATACAAATGGTTTAAATTTAAAAAAAATGCATGGTTGCTATGAGAGAAATTGTGTACTAGTAAAGTAGATATTACTTGTCGGATAGTTATTTTTCAGCAAATTATATAATTTTTTAATTCGTATATAGGTCATAATGATTACTATCTGACAAGTCGACAAAAAATATCTGACAAATACACATAAATATCAGTTTAAGTCGACATAACGTCTAACACGTTCACAAAAACATCTGAAAAGTGTAAAGAAATGATCCAAAATGAATAATAAACTCTTTTTTTCAAATGTATTTCACGTAATGTTTGTAATATACTTGTATTCATAATTGTACTATCCATGTATAGAGGGCCCCAAGGAAGACTTGTGCTTGCACTAATCGGGTTACCCTCTTTAAATAAAGTATTATTATTAATAACAATTAAGGTCTTCCGTTTCCAAGGGAAGACCTTACTGTTATTCTTAGGTTTCTTTTCCACATTTTTTTTTCTTTTTTTCTTACCGATTTTGTGCACGCGATTTCTCGGAAACGGCTCGCTCGATTTTCATGAAACTTTCAAGTCTGATAGAACATTTCAGGTCTGATAGAGCATGAAAAAATCTAGACAAATAATTTTTTATTTTGATGACGTCACCTCCGGTTCCGAGATTTTTGCATGTTAGTGGATTTCAGAGGGTTAGTTTGTCCGCGAGTTTTCTCGAAAATGGCTTAAGATAGAACCTTGAGATTTTCAGTGATAATAGAGCAATAAATGTAGATGTGCTGAACGTATTTCATATTCACCGAAAATGCTGTGTACGGAAGCTCGTTATGGACCGAAAAAAGGCATTTCCAAATTTCAAATTTTTTAAATCCTCTTCTATAATATTTCTTAATCTGTAAATAATTTGTTATAACATGTAGAACAAAAGTGGTGCAAAATGACAAGATCTTTCATCCAACATCACAAAAAAGGGGCTGACCCCTAAAATAAGGGATTTAGAGGGGCCGAAATTCTTTTCTTTATATCTAAAAAATTATTTAGAATTTGTAATACATTAAAGAAGCAAAGTTGTTCGAAATATCAAGTACAGTCTATTGAGATCGTCAAAATGTGTCCAATGACATCACTTCCGGCCAAACCGGAAGTAGTCAAAAATGCATATTTTTGCCGTTCTTGATACGTTTTTGGGTAATATACTTCACTGGAAGGATAAAACTTAAGTTTTTGTCCGTCGACGTCACTTCCGGTCGAACCGGCTTACTTTTGCAATAATCAACATAGATTTGGAAGATTTAAATCATTGGAGACGTCATTTCTCCTTTTTTTTTTTAATAAAAGTTACTTCCTGTCGAACAGGACGGAAGACCTACTCGTTGCTTTGCAACGAGCTTTGCTGTAGTTTTATTATTATCATTATCATTATTATTATTATTATTATTATTATTATTATTATTATTATCATTATCATTATTATTATTATCATTATTATTATTATTATTATTATTATTTTATCATACTGCAAAACAATGTTTTCGGACTTTCAAGGTTAGTTTTCTTTTCTAAATACATGTGCAATACCAGGGTAAGTATTTATCTGGGTCAAATCACCGGTCTCTCTACACATGCTAATTATTGATACACATTGTGTTTTTTAATTCACGAGACCAACTCTTCTACTATTCAACTACAAAATACAAAAGATGAAGCCCACGAGAAGCCTCAAAATCTCTTTATAAGCCTCAGTTTAAATAGGTAAATATTTTTATTGACATTTGTGAAGTTGAAATGAAATATACAGATACCACGATAGATTTATTATGTTTCCAATATTTTTCTTTGTAAATACTTACACCTACACTAGAAAAAAATATGAGCCAGCTAAACGGTGACAACAGGAAATTCCATTTATGACTATATATAAATCATTTATTACTGAACAAAACATGAGATGTTATATGCGTTGCTAGATTTCAGTTGTTTCTAATAACAAGGTCTTTTTAAACTTCCTTCCCTTTTCCATTCAAAACTTAGATCTGCTCCTTAGTTGGTTAAGGGTTTATGAACATGCATGTAGTGGTTTAGAGCTAGGAGTAAAGAACTCATTGTCAATTAAGGCATCTTACCCTCAACTTGCTCCGATGAGAACTTGTGTGTCTGAAAAATAAAAGACAGTCAAATTCTTGAATAAGATTCATAATAATGATGGACAGTCTTTCAATTGATAATATTAACATCTAAAACTGGCATTTAACATGCACAAATGAAGCTGTCATGAAATAATGAATATCAGGGTAAGTGATAACTTGTATTTCCCAAAGAAAAGAATTTTTTCAGATGATGTCCCAGATATTCAGGATATTGTAAATGTGAGTGTATACTAAAGCTCTATATAATTACTTTTTGTACATCAATGATGTTACGTAATGACCCAAATAGACTATATAGTTGTCATTAAGCAAGTTATCTCCTTTTCAGATCAACAAAATGATGTTTTGCTCGGATGATTTCTTTTAAAAGTAAATAAAATACCGTATGAACCTACCATTGCTTATCAGAATATCCGTGTAAGAAAAACTGTTCCTGGATAATCAAAGCTCAATGCGAGAAAAAGTAATTTCACATCATTAAACGAGATGTGATTATTTGCAAAAATATTTTACAAGAACGAAAAGTAGGAAATAACATATCTAGAAACCGGAAAAGTACATATCCGCTGTTCCTCCATACAAACAGATATATATGTATGTCACACCGAATTCCAGATTTGACTAGGGTATATGTATCAGTGATAAAACATTCTGCGGAGGCCCCTAAGTGATGTTTGTTTTCGTGGGTAATAGCGGACCATAAATCAAGCGAAAATATCCCTTGTTGCCATGATCTAGTAACTATCAATGAACTTTTCTATGTTATCTGGAAAAGCTAATCGAGGAAGTGTTTACAAAATTCCCATATTTGTCGCGCGTGTATTTTAGCACTTATTTGCGGCGGTATGTAATCTATGGACTAGGGTACATGTGCGTATCATTTTTTTTTCAATTGAAGTGTTATGTAGAATTTGGTTTCTGCAGACAAAATTTACAGTGGAAAGTACAGTGGCTGTTTTACAGGTTAACACATGCATAAACTGCTTTTAATTTGTATATGCTGTTAGAGGTTTCTATATAATGCGTTCATATTAATTTATGCTCATTTGAGCTGAAAGCTCAACTGAGCTTTTCTGATCACCTGGTGTCTAACATCTGCCCGTCTGTCTGTAAACTCTTCTCATTTTGAACTACAAGAACCACTGCGCAAATTTTAACCTAAGATGGTACAAAGCATCTCTGGTTGAAAGGGGATTCTAAATCGTTGATTTGAAGGGCCTTCTTTGGTAGTATAGATTGTAAATTGTTCAAACCATGGCCTGGGGTTAGGGTGGGGCCACGGTAAGGAATCAAAGTTTTTCTTTGTAATGTATAGGGAAAATCTTTCTAATCTCTTCAAGAATCACTGTGCTAGAAAAGCTGAAACTATCGTGGAAGCTTCTTCAGGTAATGTAAATTTCTAAATTGTTCAATCAAACCCCTGGGTGTAGGACAAATTATGAATCAAATAAATGTGAAAGCATCTCCTGATAGTGTAAATTTGTTTTCAATTAAATCACGACCCCTGATTGTAGAATTGAACTACAGAATGTGATCAAAGAGGGAGAGGGGTTTCTGATGCAGATCAGCTGGGTCAAAATGCATGAACCAGGGGAGCGTTGTGGTTTATGGGCCTCTTGTTAGCTATATCTATCATTTCAGATTACAACTCATATTTAAAAAAAATGTGTGGGTTTTATTGATACTTTAGGTCAGTGTTGTAAACATGACATGTCAATGACCCGCCGTCTCATTTTGCCTTTCACATAGTTTTAAATAAAAGACATTATACATTCAACGTCAGTCTTGTTTAATGGTTGGACCAAACACTAACTTATATCTACAAGACAAAAAAAGAAAAGAAAAAAATAAAGGTTATATCAAATCAAATTCTTGGCCCATAAGTAATATTCCCGGCAGGAGGAAGATTTGCCTTGTTCTTATGTAGCAAAAAGAGAATCTCACTCAAAAACCCTTATGTAAAGTGCTACTTTTAAAATACAGTCAACAACTGAAACTTGTCTCTCTTTCCATGAGTCAAGACTCATGGAAAGAGAGACAAGTTTCTGAATCTCAAGGCGGTCAGAACAATAATAATAATCAATGAGGAAAAATACAAAAGAATTAAAATACATGTAGCTAAAAAAGAAACCTGGGACTCCTTGACAAAATACAGGAGAGGAAATTATGCATGGAGAAACTTGTAAGGAAGCAGGAAAGAAATTTAACCTGTAAGATAAAAGGAAGGTTGATAATTACAATGTTCACACATGCGAGTTTGTGAATACATCTTCGGCAAAATCCGACTAGCTACAGTTCTACCACCAAAAGCAAGGCATCAGAAAGCAAAAGACTGTGATATCATGTCCCTGCAGTATTTGGAAGTAACCAGAAAAAAAACTATTTGCAGTGGTACAGTTCACAGAATTGGTTTATGTGACTGGTGTGCATAAGCGGAAGATTTTTCCAACAGAAATTCCAACCATTATATTTATGTGACTTTGACGAATTTATCTTAAACCATCTCCAGCTCTACTTCCTTCTAAAAGAAAACACATTTCTCAGAACTTCCTAGGCACACATGCACCGATGAAAGGTCACTCGCATAACAACATACTGTTAATATACATGTACTGTATACTGTTTGTAAAGGAAAAATGTGATAGAAGGCTTTCAGGAAGGGATAAAAGGAATGAAAAAATCCAATATACATGTATTAATTTTCATTACCTCGTGCAAGACAATGTAGAAATTAAAAAAAAATATTTTAATTTTTGTTCAGGAAATGAGAACTACCCGGCATCACTTAAAAAATGCCAAGGTTACCTTATTTTGACAAAAAAGTTATCTTGCTGCTATAAGAAAAAATGTTAAAACTATGATAGAAAAGCTCATAGGACAGTTCATTTTAGTGGAAAGATTAAACTTTATCGCTGTATCCTCAATTTATATCAGGTGAGCAATATTGCAAACTAGCTTCTTGATTTAACATTCTTTATCGTTTTGAAAATAAACAAATTCATAATAAGATTTACGAGAGGTCATTATTCTGTGTGGATCAACTTCCTTAATGTAGAGTATGATATTAAGGATGATATAGTATTTTCTATATGTGTCATTTTTCCAAGCTGCATAATAAAGTGTCAGTCATATTGTCCAGCCATGGGGTATACAATGGACAAGTGATGCGGGTTTTTTTTTTGTAAAATGGCGTGGTTACCAACCGAACACCCAAAGTAATCGAACGGTGACTGGGGCCATCGGGTGAATCGGTGGGGCTCAATGGGAGAAAAAATCAGCAATGTCTCCACCGATGCCCAAATCGTTCCTCATCGACAACCCATCATTCAAAGATCGACAGGTATATGGCCGAGCATCGTCCAGTGTCCGTTGAGTGGTGGGCAACAGACATTGGTCGCTCACGGTTCGACCAAACAATGACCGACCGATATTCACCAATGTCTGAGCGCCTGCCGGTCGAGCATTTTGTAGGATGGTCAATGAAAACTATCCGATTTCTGGTCGATGTTCGGCAGGTAATGGGTGTCAAGGAGATCAAAAATGATATCCTCTTGAGTCAATCGCCGTACGATCATCGGCGGGAATATTTCTGTTGCTTTGACAGATGTGTTAAGGACTACTTGGCCGATGAGGACTGATTTTGGGGCTTGGTTCACACCCCCACTTACCACCGGTTTACGGCCACCGGCCGGGAAATCTGACAGAAGCTTAACTGAGGTTAATTTCAACGTCAAAAGATAAATGTAAATCATTGTTTGTTGTCAAAAATAACTCCCGTTCATCATTCTACAGAGGTAGTTAACTATTTGTCTTTCTCGTTTTTACTACAGCCAAAATGTCGAGAGTTGAGTTGTAAGCCTTATTTTTTTTTATAATAGTTCACATTTGTATCATTTACAATTAAGATGGAAATGAAATATAGTAAAATTGAACTCCTCTTATTATGAGATCCTTTTCTGATTAAAAAGATATATACAAACTGAATTGGCTACGGATTTTTTCAGTTTTCCCGATCGTAACTAGGAGCACACTGCAAGTGTGTTCATTCCTCTGTGGCACCTGATCCCATCCCTGAGGTGATAGAGGTAGTGTTTGCTTTTAAAAAACCTGAAGCAGGGCAAACAAACGGACCTCCAAAAACATCAAACGAAGATCAGGTGCCATGGATGACCAAGCATCCCCTGTCGAACTTTACACCCGCCGTGTTCTCCTTGTCATGATCGGGTAATGGGGACTAGTTGCCATGGAGGAGTGAGTATCCCCTTTCGACTGGTCACTCCACCATGTGCTCCTTGTCATGATCCGAAAAAAACGGGAAAATCCGTCACAATTCATTGTGGAAATAATGGCCCAACAACTAGTATGAAAAACGGTAGTCTGCATAATGATAGATTGTATATTTGCTAACAAAGTCATTGTTTCAAACATAGAACTTTCGAAATGATGACTTTTTAAACAAGACTCCTGATATTCTTCTTTTATCAGTTTGTCAATAACTTGCCTTGTTTTAGGAATTCTTCATACGTAGAACATGCTCTTGCATATCGAATCAACGGTAAATATCAACCACGTTTGCAGGTGATAAAGGTATATTGTTGCATAATTACATGTAAGAGAGATTGATGATTGAAAATTTGAAGTCATCATGTTTATCATAAAGCTTTGTCCTTACATTACCATTAACATCGTTCTTAATATTGAAGAAACGTCGTCTATGTACATGCTAAAAGGCAACAGCAAGTGTTTTCTTCTTTTTCACGTGTAAGATTTTGAACAAATTCTGCTTCATATGAATATATATAAAGGGGGCAATGTTCGAGATGGCAGGAAATCCAAAACTCTTTTTATATCTGTTTACTGCATAAAGCATAATAAACAAAATAAAAAAGATCAGTATACATGTGGGTTTGCACATTTACTAGTGTACAGCTACTTTAGAAATATAATAATACACATAAATATGAGACAAAAAGTTGAATTTATATCTCCTTGATACTGTTCCGTTAAGAATACAGTAAAATGTGATTTGTTATTTTTTTTTTTAAATTCATTAACCTATCGTCATTTCTTGATTTTAAGAATATGTAGACACTTGACGTATACCTTAAGTCGTCTTGAATTTTGTTGCAATTAAAATAAGTTACAACATCTTAGAACTCAATGATACATCCATCAATTACACGATGCCAACATTATGCTACACTTTGTGTAAATTACACATTTAAAGGTAGATCTAAACAGGTGTTTTATTGCACACAGTGGTGCATAATTTAAAATCAACCTGAAAATTTATCTATCTTACGATGCATGGTCACGCATCAAAATTTTTAATCAACATGCTTGCATGAAAAAAAAAAAGATGGGAATCTATAACAGTTCATTGTTAGCTGTAATTTTTATTCATACTTAACATAAATTTTAAGTTTACTCAGAACGTATTTGTGAAATATTCCATTCTTTAAGTTTCAAATATTTGACTGAGATATGCAAAGGCTACAAGTATATGATCTCTGTATAGCTAGAAGAATGTCATAAGAACTAGGTATCTAAATAAATAGCACATATATTAATAATTTTGGAAATTAAATAGTGAGAAAAACATCTTTTTGATTAGGCAAAGTTTTAAATTATCTCAACAGATGTTAAATAACTCTCTCTCTCTCTCTCTCTCTCTCTCTCTCTCTCTCTCTCTCTCTCTCTCTCTCTCTCTCTCAACACAGTTAATAAATCGTTACATGGAGATGAAGACCATTATTAATAAGTTCATTGAGACAATACAAATGGGAAGAACATCAAACACGAACCTTTAAAACATCAGATGTAGGATCAGGTGCCATGGAAGAGTAGGCATCCCATGCCAACTATTCACACCCGCCGTGTGCTCCATATCATGATAAGGTGAATGGAAAAATTCGTAGACAATGCAGTGTGTGAATAAAGGCTAACAATCTGTGCTGTGTAAGAAAGGTCTGTCAGAATTCAACTAAATTATATATTGTAGTTGCTTACAATAGCATTGTATTGACTATAGAAGCTGCGGAAATTGACTCAAAACTAGACAGTTTGATATCCTTAATTTATCAACTTGTCAGTCAAAAGCCTGCCTCGTTTAAGAAGCAGTTCGTGCGCATAGCATACTTTTGCGTATCTAATCAAGAGGGAGAGAATAAACCCACATAAAGCTGATTGGGGTGTATTGTTGCATAAGTAAGGGTACAGCTGTATATTACTAGAGGAAGTTGACTCTATCAAAGTGTATCATAAAGTTTTGTTGTTAGAATATTATTAACACATTTTCCTAGTAAAATATCTAAATATGAAACAGATGCATCAGACTCTGTGGTATCTTTTATTTCAAGTTCACTCGGGTATATCGAGTCGACATATAAATTAAGTAATAACTGTCAATTGGTAATACGTCGGTGATATATCTGATTGTTGAGTTGAAGGCCACTGTGTTTTCTTCCTGTAATGTATTTTTTTGAATAAATTCTACTTTAATGTCTCCAAAAACTATACAGATACTAGTATTGTTGATCAGAAACTCAACCATCTTTTTAATATGAACATCAGGGTACTCGTGTGTACAATCAGAATATTTTAAACAAAATACTTTGAAATAAAAAGGTAGTTAAATTTACGAGTTCGATTAATTTGATATTTGAAGAAAAAAAAACAGCCGTCTTGAATGTCATAAAACTTGGACTCTGTTTTATCGTTGAGATATTGTTGTATCAAGTTTTGTAAAGTTGTACACTACTCTTTAAGTTTCCCTTTACACTGCACACTGATGGCTTCTGACCCAATGGTATTTTTCTGCAGTTAGAGTGATCAGCCCTTATATATAAATTCCAATATATATAAATTTACATTATACATGTATTACTAATTTTGTAATCAATTCCAAGTATTCTTAACATTTTAAAAGGCCAAGATAAATTAATTGAACATGTTATTTACTGTATTTTTCCCCTTTGAAGTAAACAACAATGATTTCTGTTCACTGATACTGTGTTGTGGTTGAACATTTTTCCTGAGGATAAATGGCATGCCACGTACCATATATTGAAAATTTAATAAATAAGCTCAATATTTTTAACCCCTTTATTCCATATAGTTTTTTTCAATGTCCAAAAATATTTTGCTCTGGTGTAGAGATTCTTTAGTAATGATTTTTAATGAAGTTTAGGATGTTAGTTCAAATTCATTTTAATTGTAGGGAATATTTTTTTTTAACTAGCTCATGTTTTTGAAGAATTTTTTTTCTTAAAGCAAGCTATGGACATAAGTTTAACCACTTGCAGAATTAAATTCCGTTTCTGGGACAAGTACATACAATTCGTTTCATCTATCTATTTTTTTCTCGCTTCCGAATTCCTGAACACAGAAGGATAGATGGTTTTCATGTTGCCCCTCTTAGTGCGAGAGATTAGCATCCTTCCGATATTTTTAATCTAAACTGACAAATTGTCAAGATCTTTTTCATGTTTGGTCCATTGCATGGCTTCATCTTCCACGGAATTCAAAATATTTTTGAAATATTATAAGGCCAGGTGTAACATTGGGGTTCCCTAACTTTTGGAGCTTCTAAAATAAGTCCTCGTTATATTTACGTCACCAGTAGATTATAGTTAAAGGGTTAAGAAAAACATTGAACACGTTGGAGGATTATGTTTTAAAAGTTGGCTATCTAAAGGTTTTTTTAATTAAAAAGACTGGAGCCAATAGTCAATATATAAATACAAGGTATGAAGGTCAAATTAAAATATGGTGGAATACAAGACTGCATCCTTATTACTTAAATCAAACGTATCATTTCTTTGCTAGGACTTTGAGGTTCAAGGGGGAAAAGGGTCGTTTTGGTTTCTTCCGTTAAATTTGTAGGGTTAAAAAACCTATGATTATAGCAATATCCATAATCAAAGACACAACCCCATATTCTGGTGTCAAACAATCCAAATATGTACTTTCTTGACTTTTTTCACTTAGACTATCTAAAACTCTCAAATAGACAGATGCGCAAGTGCGACGAAGACTTTTAAAACTATTTATTTTCTTAAGGTAGTGAATCAAAGGAGACATAGTATATTGTAGATTTATTGAAAATCATGCATAAAAAAATCACTGATAAAACTAAGTCTGATGTTTTTATTGCAATTAAATGATGTTTTGAACCAGAATTTTTATTTGTTTCACAAAAATTTTCACATTTGTTGGTATCAAGTACATGTACCTGTAATTGGTTAAAAATAATCGATAACGATGTAACTAACTGTTTAATATATTTTTTTAATGAAAAATGATACAGTGTATTGCTTTGACATGTGTATTGTTCATTTGCGTACGTTTGAACATCTTTGCCTTGGGTAAATAGACAATATTGACACTTAAAGTAAATAGAACATACACCAAAGAGCCACAGGAATATGTCATCTCTTCCCAGCCATCATTGCCACAAACTCTGAAACAAGAGAAAACTTTTTCAGTGGAAAAAAGAAAATTACAAAAAACGGTCGAATTTAATCAATTAAGTGGTTTATTTTTTGGTTTGGTTGGGTTCTTTTAAATTTGCATTTTAATGATTCCCCTCAAAAAGATATATACACACTCCAATTGATACTAAGTTTAAAAATGATTCAATTCATACTTAAATACTTAAATGTCCTATCAAACAACGCAGGGAAGGACCAGCAAACTTATCTTTATATTACACGAAAGTCTTCTGTTCTTTAGAATCATCCGAACATCGGTGCTTTAGCATAATTACATACCTTGATAATTGACCAATCCATCACCGTCTAAATCCGCCTCTCGTATCATCTCTTCCACCTCTTCGTCCGTAAGCTTCTCTCCTAAGTTTGTCATAACGGTGCGTAGGTTTTGCCCATTGATAAACCCTGTATTGTCTCTATCAAAGACTTTAAAGGCTGACTTTAATTCCTCTTCAGAATCCGTGTCCTTCATTTTTTTCGCCATCATTTGAAGAAACTCATCAAAGTCAATTGTCCCATTACCTATTATATAAACGTTTATTTATGTTTGTTGGCAGTTTTCAGATTACCATATAACTTTTGCAAAAACAGACCCAAGATAGTTTGTCAAATATAAGTATTTTTTTAAAAAGAAAACTTTTTTTAAAATCATACCGGGTATCTTTCTATTCCAACAACATTAATTTTACTTACAAATGCATTAAATTTTAAATAAAGAAATAATGTTTAATGTTTAAGTCAATGTTTTTGTCACAGTTTTTTTTCCTACCATCCACATCGACTTCCTGTATCATTTCTTGAAGTTCTGATTCTGTTGGATTTTGACCAAGTGACCTCATGACTGTTCCCAATTCCTTGGTGGTAATTGTTTCATCGCCATCTTTGTCAAAAAGACTAAAAGCTTCCTTGAATTCTAAAAAGAAACAATAAGGGTATACGGTTTCCATTTTTTTTCCGTATGCCTCATGGTTTAGGTACTATAAAACACTAATAATGGAAATCTTACCTAATATCTGTTCTTCAGATAGCTCTGCTACCAGATCCTATTAACAAAATTAATGTATCTTTATGTACATTCTACCACCTAAATCGTCAACACATTTATAAGTGTTAATTAAGCGTTCTGCAAAACCTGTTCCTTTATTTATATTTTAGAATGAATTGACATTCTCAAATTTTCCAGCTTATTATAAATTGATGAAAGGGTTTTATAACTAATGCAGTATACTAATAAACTACTTAGATGTTGACTCGATGTTTCAAAAAAGTCTTTGCTACATGTATTTATTACAACAAGTGCATGAAACTCATGCAGCTATGACAAAATAAAATGTAAATCAGTGAAACATATATGCAGATATTATTTAGTTTAGCAGGTTACCTTTGCACATTGTTTAGCAGGTTTTTAAAATGCTCAAAACTTTTATATGCTTCAAAATTACTTTCCGTGTTTTAGACCTAGAAAGAATTAAAAATTTTGCATATTTTTGATAACAATGATTAATGAAGGATACTTACAGCCATTATTTTAAAGTCCAAAATTCGGATCAAATCACGTGTATAGTTCCCGAGATTATATCTAAGTATTCATGCAACACCAGAATTATTTTTTGGGTGATTAAGCAAGTGATCCAATCGTCAATTTAAGAATAAACTATCAAATTATGGTCCATTCATTAACCATACATTTAAATCAAATACATAAAATCCGGGTATAATAGAAGTTTAGAAGAGGTGTATTAGTTGCAAATCGATAGCCGACAATAGATCAGAAAATATCGAATTTTAAATTCAGGACAACCATTTTGTGCATCGAGTTGCAATACCGTACAAGGAATAATGAATGTTTAGAAAACATTCAGCCATTCATGATGAACAATTGGACGCTAATATAAGTATTGTATAAAGTTTCCGATATTCCAACCAGTAAAGTAAACACAGAATTATTTGATCTGTAACATTTGCCTAACTTAAATCTTTAGGTTTAATGTTTATCTTTTCTTTGCTGAAAAAATGCTTTTTAATGACAAACGCACACATAGCTGATATGAGTGATTGGCATACAGGCAATAGATAACCCGTAAATGTAGGCTATCTGTTCCAATATTATCCCTTAATGCCATCCTTTAGAGGAGCTTCCAGGATACACCAACAACCAAAAGGAATGTCTATGATTTTACAACACTCTAAACCTCTTTAACCCAGAAAAATGGAACTTCGTGTTCAAGGATTTATCGATAGGACTTGTTATGATCTTTCAAAAACGTTATGCAATCAAGAATCTTTCTGAAATACGATACAATGAAATATTTAACCAAAAGATTACATTTAAAACTCTCCTAATTATATAGATACATTGACAACTTATACACGATACATTAAACATAATTGTCTGCAGGATATAAACGAAAACGAAATGGTTACGTCTGTAATGAACAGAGTATTAATTAAAAAGGAAAGTAAACACAACATGATGTAATAATTGTACTTCTGTTGCAAAACCACAGTAGGGTTATCTCCCCTACCGTGGACGATATGAAGTACTTTTCATACAGGGAGAGACATCGGACTAAAGAATCTTTCTATAAAACGTAAGATCAAAATCAATGCTCCTGGGTCAGAATATATAAAACAACTAAGAGTGGACGGATTCATTTATTCTCATGCAAACCACAGTCGTACAACAATTTGAACTCATTCATGTATAACGTTTCTCCTTTCAGTCAGTTAAATTTTGAAGCCTTTCAGTTCATCACCAGTAATAGAAGAACATCTTTTGAAGGATATGGAAAAAGATGTAAGCAAATCCAATTTATCCATTGACATCATTCATCATCGCTACAAATTCTGTAAGGCAAAAACGTATGAATTTTTAATTGTGTAATATCTTTTATATATTATATGCTCAAGATGCAAAACATTAAAATAATTCAAAGGTAGGCATACTAGAGCATTTCTTAATTTCTAAAAACCACTATATTTTTAATAACCCATCTAATCAGAAATTTTCAATATAGATTTAAAGGGTTCCATAATTTACAAAGATGTCATATGTTTAAATGAATTCAAATAGTAATCAACTAATAATCAGTTATAAAAGAATTGGGGCGAAAATAGTTTCCAAGGAAATTTTACAAGATTACACCCAAAACAATACAAGACGATTTTGTAATGTTGTATACGACGTTATTAGTAACTATTAATTATGCATACCGGTAGTATGCAATATGAAATTGTTCGATCGATCTCACCAAATCGTTCGGTGAAAAGCAAACATCTTGTGTTTATGACGATTAATTGGAACTCGTCCTAATTAATTTTCTTTTAGACTTACTTATATAACTTCTGAATGATATCTATGAATGCGATCCAGACTCATTAAGATATGTCTGAATTACACATATTACAAAAGAAAGGATTTCAGGAGAAGTAACTCTTTTTCACCAATTTCGAATGCAAAGCGTGGCTACTTTGGTTTCATGATGTGCTCATTGTTTTTCGACCTCTCAAAGCCTGTCCCATACTAACTCTCTTTTATCATATTCAAACTGCAAATGATTCGAAATGCAAACATTGTAAATATTATAAATCCAGATCACATTCAAATTTTTTAAATTAAATGGGTTGGTGTAAATATTCAATACAGACAATTATAAGATTTAGTTTAGTCACTGACCTTCAAAGTCTATCTCGCCATCGCCGTCCAAATCTGCCTTGTCGATCATCGAATCAATCTCCTCTTCTGTGTAGTCGTTTGACATCATCTTCATCATCATCTCTTTCAGTTCAGCACGGTCTATAGATCCGCTCCCGTCAGCATCAATCTCTTTGAAGGCGTCTCGAAGTTGTTCAATTGGATCGCTGGATCGCATTTTGTGGGTCATTATTTGCAGGAAGCTCTCTAAATCTAATCTATTACTACCTACAAAAATGATGAGGCTGAAAACTAACCTTTTGAAGAGTCTTCCTTTTAATACATACATAATCTTGAATAATTTAAGTAAAAATACATCAAGATTAAAAGATTTTTTAGTCAAGTGTAATAAAATATAGCTGATACAATTTATAAGGAAAAACTGGTACATGTACGCTTATAAATTTTGTTTTCAGACAACAATAAATAGATCTATTTTTGATAATGCTTACACATCAAAGATATAGTACATATTATGGTAACATTTATATAAAACAAAGAATAGATTATGTAGAATATATTATGTAAAATAGATCATATTATTGTAAGGTGCTGCGATTGCTACCTTTACACATTGTTTCAATGATATCACTAATCTCGTCCTCAGGCATTGGCTGTTCTACTAGTTCCAGTATTTCTTTTAAAAGGTCCTGGTGAATGTAGCCTCGCCCTTTCGCGTACATTTCAAAGGCCTCGGAGAAATCTGAAATAGATCCATTTTATACAAGTTAGAGAAAGGGTAATTTTTTGACAGTTTATTGCTTAGAGGTATTGAATTCTTAACGTTATCTCCTACATTTAAATCTTTAAAGTAAAAAAATTAAGCTTCTTTACCTGCGACCATCTCATCTTTCATGTGGTACGTCTGTAAAAGATAATCAGAAATATGTTAAAATAAGCCAATCCATGATTTAGCATGTGAGAGATATGATCCATGTATTATTTGCAACCTTAAAGAACAAATAGTTCATATACTGTAATGACTTACACAAAAAAAAAAATCGTGTTTAATGTTGTATAATGATGGTGTACATAATGAAAAGTATTTGGTGGCACATGTTACGAATACACAATTTTAGGAAGCAAGCAATTGTAGAACGTTATATGTATTCATTGTAAGAAAACTGTTTACTCCCTTTTTATTATAAATGTTAGTAAGCTTTCGATATTATGCCCGATAAATGTCGGATTAAGATGCTGACATATTATTGCATAAAATGTGGAAGTCTTTGATTAAAGAATGTGCTTAATAAGGTTTCAGCAATAATTTAATTTTAATATTTAAAAAACCATGTTCATCAGCAGAAAATTAAGGTAAGTAAAAATCTCTTTTTATATATATTCAAGCTGCTTATTTTTAGATACCTTTGAAGCAGTTTATCTTTATTCATTCATTTATAATTTTAAGGGGGTGAGAAAGATTCACTTAAAAATTCAAAGAAAATTACAATCTGTTACATTATATTGATACAGAATGAGCTTAAGGTAGTTTAAAAATTAACTGATAATGAAATCTGGTGCTTTAAACTATATGCATACATGTATGCATCAAATTTACTTTCTCTTGAAATCAAAAGTAAAAAAGAAAGTATTTACATTATACATACTTCTAAACAACAACTCAAACCAAAACGTGTTAATGTGCATCAAAAACAAAACACGTGTCAAACATTTTAAATACTTGATAACAAGGTGATATTTTTTCTAAATAAGTGCCCTAATGAAAGAAACAAAACAAATTCAATACTCTCAGCACTGGATATCTGCTCTAGGTCACGACATCTTGGTGAAATGATGTATGAAATATGGAGAAAATGAACAGTTTTCAAGCTCGTATGTTCATTCAAACAGTACAAGTCAGGGACAGAGCAAACACAGACCACTTAGACATCAGAGGTGGGATCAGGTGTCATTAACGAATAAGCAACACCTGCCAACCTGTCATACCCGCCATGTGCTCTTTGGCATTGTCAGGTACAAATCCACAGGCGATTCAGTTTGTAAATGATGGTAACAATTCCATGTATAATGATGATAAATAATATGTGTCATTCGTGGTTAATTTTTTAATATATCACTTTGAGGTGGATAAACATATAAAACAAACAAAAAAAAGAAGAATAAATTTATGATTCTTTTTTATCTTGGATTAAAATTAAGTACATCTTGTACTAAATGACAAATTTCATATGGTATTCAAGTTAGTTTTAAGAATACAAATCTAATACCGGTAGATATATGTTGATTTCGGGAAAAAAAATTTGTGTAATTAACTCTTAAATTCTCAGGTACATGTAGTTTTATGAGCAGATTTTGTTATAAAGTATCTCTTTTTTATGTAACAATGCTATTTCTTTATCTTTAATTGCAATGCTTAACACTAATACAATAAGGATAATGTATGCCATATGATTGCACAGTAATTTTGTATTGAAAGACATCATCCACAATTAATTTACTAGTTATAGTAAACAGTCAAGTAGGTTCCATATGCCATTAATTGTCAATAAGCATATCTAAATCATTTAATGAAAAGTGCATGAAAAGGTTCTTGAAATAACAACATCTAGATAAAAAGTAAACAGAAAGGTAAAAAAATACATTGATTGAATATAAAGAAAGCTAAGATACACGATCGTTGTGCTCTGAAATTGAATACCTGTTCCCCAAATGGATTCGTATTCTAGAAAACACAAGTTTATCGATGAACATTGATTTTACAACACACTGGTATCTACATACACATTGGATCGATGTTTTAAAATGGATTACAGTATGTTTACAAAATGCCAAAGAACGTAAACAATGGGAACTTACCGAAGACATTTTGTTTTCCACAAAACTTAAAGTAATTCAACCATCGGGGTCTTTCTGTTGGAAAAATAAATGAATAAAATGGAGTCAACGAAAATGGATGATGAATACAACTGTCAAAGAATCTCAATCCAAACTGAAAACATGGATCAATACAACGCTTGATTGAGCACTGTTAGACCACGGTTGTAAACCAAAGATTATTAGGTATTTTTATCTCCCGAGATCGGGTTAGGTTTTAAACAGTTAATACAACCATTTAAAGGCATCGATATTAGATCATCAAACAGCCTTTTATGGATATTGTCAAGAATGATTTATTTTGTATCAAATGCGGTATTAAAGTCAATAAATTGGACTTTTATAACTTACCTGTTCTATTTTTTCTGTACCATCATGGTCCAAGAGTTGTGAATATCAACACAAATTTCCGTTTCTATGTATGTTTCCAAACAAAACCGTAGCATGAGTTGATGTTTCAATGGCTTAGAATCGATGCCCTTTAAATTGTCTCGACCCTTCACTGACATTATATCAAGCGTGTAAAATTATTGAAAATTTCATTGTTAATATTAAAGGAGGACAATTTTATACTGAAAGCAGTTTTATTTATTTTAAAGCTCTGCTTTCTGTACATTTTTCCATTGAAATTTAAAATTTGATGTATATGTATGTTTATATTCTTTTTGTAAGGGAGGTATATAAAACTATCGGATTCGTAATATCGTTTTCTTATCTTATTTGCATCTTTAAAAATCAATATTGCTATTGTGGTTGGAAAGAATTTAAAAAATCAATTCTTCGTGCATGGAAGCTTTTTGTATTGGAGAAGAAAAATAGCAAATACTTCATCATTAATTTAAAAGTTTCATTCATTTTTGTAACTTCTCGAGTACATAGTACATGTAAGTTTTGAAGCATTGAACGATGAAATATTGGATTAATGTCTTAAAATATGATCAAAGATTATATTTGTAAAACATATTAAGTAGATCTGTAGTTTCTTTCTGTTAACATAATAGTCTTTATTTTTTCAATATATATACCAAAATCACAATTTAATCATTTACAGCACAACATAATACAAAACATTGAAGAACAATAAAGCTTAAGATAAAACAGTCGGTAAAATTTTATCACTGTTGTTCATTATACAAATAAAGAAAGCAATCTAAAAAAATTTAGAGCATCCCCTTTTATGATTTAATTCGTCAAAAAAAAATATTGATTCCTTTTTTATCAAATCATAATATAATTAACTACTGAATTGCTTTCGAGTCAAAGATTGTCACAAAAAGTGAAATTAGTATTCGATGACATCTTTTTAAGATCCTGTTCCTTCCATGTTTTCTAGTGCTCTAACCCGTCATCACCTTTATAAACTCTGTAAAAATATATAATAATAAAAAATTTAAATTGCACAAAATACCAAAATTTTCAAAATCAAATAGTATAAGAAAGAGAAAGAGAGAGAGGGGGATAGAGGAGATATCAAAGGAATGCTAGGATACTAAGATTTAAATAGATAGATATCAACAATATAAAAAAAAATACAGTGTATGACTCTCTAAGTTTGAAAATCTTACTAACTTACCAATGTAATTAATATCCCCATCTCCGTCTATGTCAGCGACTTTGACAGCTTCATTTGCCTCTTCGTCCGTTAATCTCGGCTTGTCCCCCATAGTCGTCAGTATCAGGTGGAGCTGATTAGAACTAATGGACCCAGTTCCGGTGTCGTCAAACACTCGGAACGCCTCGCGAATTTCGTCCTCTGTGTCCGTCTCCTTCATCTTCTTTGACATCATTTGCAGGAATTCATTGAAGTCAATTTCTCCATTGCCTAAAAAGTGAAAAAAATTAACTTTGTTTTCAAAAGGTCTTAAGCCAACAAACATTCGGTCAAATAGACATGTGAAGAATACTGTTATCTTTTATCTCTTAATCCAATCTATAGAATTTTATAAAAATCAATTGCAACCTGATAGAAATTTAAGTAAGTTTTACCATCTTGATCCACTTCGTTGATAAGTTCCTCCAGTTCAGCGTTTGTTGGATTTTGACCTAGTGATTTCATTACTGACAACAGTTCGCCTCCGGAAATGTTCCCGGAGCCATCTTTGTCAAAGAGACTGAAGGCCTCCCGAAACTCTGTCAGCGACAAGAAAACATTTTGAGGACATACTCATGATATGGATATTGCTTATATCGCATTCAAACTTGATAATCAAGTATTTTGACAATAAATGTGGTGTAATTATGAAAACATGGTTAGATTTTAGAGACTTTTTTGAAATCCATATTGCACTGGTTATTCCTGAGAAAATGTGGTGATTTAGCAGTGAAAAACAAATAAATGAAAAGGAAAAACTACTTTCTCAGTTTCAGATACATTATTTTTTAAAGATGCTTAAAATTTAACGAGAGAGTGAAACATTACCTGCGACTTGATCTTCCGTCAGTGCATCCTACAAAACAATATACACGTATCATGAATTTTAAAATTAATTTTATAAAATTATATATTTATTTTTACGTCTCATTGTGTTCAAAATTGTATTTTGAAAAGAACTTATTTTGTATGAGCTCACTCACCATGTTTTCTTCAGTATATAATCCTAAATGAAATATTAATCATTTGTTTAAGTATGTCAGTACAGATTTGGTGATATCCTGCTTCTTGTAATACAAAGGGTGGATTGTTTTCAGAACTGCTTGGCTTATGTTAGGTAACCCAAGACGAGATCGTTATCTAATCCCCACTGTATGATGGGTCCTTTGATTTAAGTCATTACTTCAACGAGTTAATATCTGTCTATATTATAATCTTAAGGAAAGGTCGTAATTAAACTTTAAGAGAATATTTTTTTAATGAAGAGAATTGATGAGATATTTCCTTACCATTATTAACAGACGGTTTTAAGAAGAATTTTTTTTAATTTGATAGTTACATCGAAACTAAAGGTGTTCATAAAATTGTGTAAAATTTTTCGTTTATTTCACAGTTATGCCTATGTTCTTGGTTGATAGAACAATTCTGTCTTGAAAAAAGTTCATTTTTACCGATTAAGGATTGATAGGAAAATTAGTTAACATGAAATTATTCAGTATTCTTGATACTACTATCTTTTTATTATACACTGAGGAATCCTCAAAATCTAACTTACTTTTGTGGCAATGAATATATAATGAGATGAAAAGCAGTATTCAAGCTGATAAGTCAATTCAAATAATACAAATCAGGAGCAGAGCAAAGACGGACCTCTAACACATTAGAGGTGGGATCAGGTGCCATGGAGGAGTGGGTATCTTCTGCCGTGTACTCCTTGTCATGATTGGGAAATAGTAGAAAAATCCATTGACAATTCAGTGTGTAAGAAATAACCTAACAATTAGTATGAAAAACATCAGTCAGCATTTGACTTAATAATGTCAGCATTTGACTTAATGATTGTATTTGCTTAAAGGGTCATTGTATTGAACACAGAACTTAAGAAATGATTATTTTATACGAGACTGTTGCTAATCTTCTTTCATCAACTTGTTTGTCAGTAACTTATGGATGCTCTTGCGTATCGAATCTACTGGGCGATATAATCCCCATATCCGGTTGATAAGGGGTCTATTGCTGCATAAGTAAGGAAAGGTTACATTTGAAAGTTTAAAATCATCGTTTTTATCATACAACTTCGAATTCATTGTTTGGATACCATGAACGTCTTTTCTGGTAAAATATCCAGATATGAAATATATGAGATAAAGAGATATAGAGTTAATTACCAATTTTTCTGCTGTTTCCAGATAATTATTATTTAAAGAGAATCATACCAATTCACTTTTCAAACCGGAATTTAAAAAAAAACTAAATATGCCTTTCAAACGTTCTGGAACCAAACAACTACATTACATTAAGGCATTGTTTAAAATGCTCATACTCATTCTGGGGAGTCTGCTTTCACCTTACTCAAAATGTTTATAACAGAAGTGTTAATCATTTGCAACCTGATATATTGATCAGCACCATTTACTGGCGGCTCATCAAATACTAGTAATAGATACATATTATTTGATAAATTTCTTTGTTTATTCTTTTTGAATGTACTTTATGGTAAAAAAAATCAATTTTTTTAAACTAAATAATAGTACCAATTAATTTAAGCTTAAAGACATGACTTTGATGCTCCTCTTATGTCTTGAATAAGGACTTAGATTTATAACATCTTATACAAAAATTTTGATTTATAAACAAGCTACAAAACTGTGGTTTTACAGTGTTCAATCTGAGGATGCTTACTCCTTCTCCCGCCTTTGGTGTATCAGAGGTGTGTTTTCTCTCCTCTCAATTTTCATTGTTTAATTTGACTTTTGATAATTATAACTGACCATTTTCTTCAAATGTCTTTCGGGAGTGACGAAAGTAATTTTATATAAATTAATTACAACATACCTCTACTAGCTGCTGTCTTTCCCCCATTTCTTCTTATGGTCACACAAGAAACTGCAATTCCTTTTACTTCAATACACGACATGTTTGCATGAAGCAAAGTTTGGGGATTAATAATTGTTAAAGAGCGGAGAAAAAGAAAACATACGTGAAATGTTAAATTGATTGATTTCTTTGTTAGAATTTACAATATTTACATCCACAGAGTTAAATGAAAATTATTAATGGATGTCGAAACTTCGGCCTGGTATCTTGTCTTGTGTAATAATATATATTACACAAAGAAAGCAATTGAATGAATTGCATTCTGCCTAACTTGAAATGATAGGCATTAAAGAAGTCGATATGTATAGTATGTATAGTTACTATCCATAGGAAGTCCTTATAGATCAAAGCGTTAGTTCTACTTCCACTCAGACAATACAAATTTATTTCACTTTAGATGGTAATCTGATCCGAAGTTTTGAATTATTGTCACTGTTTAAGTTTATGTTAGAAATAAAAATGAGCAGATTGCTTTCAAAATATGTTTATCAATATCGTTGAATTTTAATCTCTTTAGTACATACAATCGGGGGAGGGGGTGAGACTCAAAGGATTGAGTCCCTTCAGAAGTTTGATTGGTACTAAATTCGCATCGAAGTTAAATACACTGAAGAATCTCCATACTTTAGTTTGATAGTCTACCACTACAGGAAAATAGACCTGACTAGAAAAAATCTTTTAACAGGATGTGTGTTCTCGATATACCTAGGAAAAAGACTCTCTGGTACTACAAACATTGTGAAATATGTACTTTTTTAAATCTTTGGTTGTTTCAGAATGAACTATTTTTATCAGAGATCATTTGAGGAACTATGATTATTCTACCATTGTTATTAAATATTTATTGCAAGGATCCTGGTATTAACGCTAGGGTAAAAGTTATTTCATTGCAATTGATAAATATTTGAATAGACATTTTTTCGAATTTCTATACAGAATCAAAAGATTTTTATGTGAGAATGTTTATTAAGTCCGATTAAGTATGCCTAGTAATAGTGTTAAGAAAGAAGAAGGCACTGAAGAAAAAATACCACTGAGAAAATGACGGGCAATAGTAGAGAATATACAAACCATTGATGTTAGAAATGTACAAAAGGTTGAGAGATTTCCATTGAAAATGAGAATTCATTATGTCTTTTGAATTTAAATACCCCCTATTAAACGTCTTAAGAAGGTATTAAATCCATTACACGATACAGAAAATGTTAATCAAAAGTAAATAGTCTTTTTCTCGATTCACAATATCAGGGCCATATATATGCAGTACTTCTGTAATTTTATTATCTAATTCAAGTTGTTGAAGTATTTTATTCCTTCTGTTCCATCGCCCACATGTTCTCTCACTGATATTTTGCTTGCATTAAACATAATTATCCAAAACTCTTACTCACAAATCACAGTTTCTTAATTTTTCATATTACTTAGAACATATACTGTATGAACAATGATTTTATTACCAGATCTTGTAAATATTAACTTTAAATGCAAAAAATGGATGTGACATGGTATGTACTTTTCCTTGGTCAGGGAAATGGGAACAAAATATAAACATCAACAAATTTAACAATCTATAACAATTATATATACAATTAATAAATCACATTCCTCATTCAAATCAAGATATTATTTTTTCTTTGCTAAGGAACTTTGTTTTGGGTCATTTTTTGTCTCTGTCTTGGTTTCTGGTTTAGATGCCGGTGTACTTCCGGTGGCGCCACCTTTTTGAGCGATGGCTTTTTGCTTTTCCTCTTTTTCTTCTTGTCCAGCACCAGCCAACATTTTTACAAACTCTGCAATAAGAATCGTTTTTGCAATCATTGAGGCACTTGTAAATTCTTTAAAATCTTGATAACAAAGAAGCAAAATATTCTACCTACAATGATCTTTTTTTAAACCTTGACAAAAATTGATAAGAGCATGCATAATATTAATATGAAACTAAGCAAATACTATGCATTTTATCACAAGCTTATAACGAGTAGTATAGATGCTTAAGTCTATTTTTAATGACAAAGAATTACATACCATCGTAATCAATATCGCCATCTCCGTCTATGTCTGCCTCCTGGATCATCTCATCGACCTCATCGTCTTCCAGTCGATCGCCCATCGTCGTCATTATGTGTCGTAGGTACGCCGAACTGATGGATCCAGTCCCCTCTTTATCGAAAACTTTGAAAGCCTCTCTTATTTCTTGCTCGGAATCAACGGCATTCATCTTTTTTGCCATCATCAGGAGAAACTCCTGAAAGTCAATTTCTCCATTCCCTGAAATTTTTAAGAATAAAAACCTAGATATAAGGGTATGAAATGTTTTGAAAGTAGGGAAGATTAAACAATTATTGTAACATTTTGTAAGCATTTACACAGTCATACAATGACACCATACATGTATGCTTCAGCCAGTGATGTTTTACAAAGAAGTTCAAAAAGCAATGAGAGTGAACCAAAGAGAAATTATGATTGATATATCGACAGTATGAAGTGAGAATTTGATTTTTCATCTTCGATATAGTGTTCAGTTCGTCAATATAAAAAGGCATTACCCTACAGAGGCGTATAGGTATTGACATTTGTGTTATCACTTGTTCAGTCTCCTAATTGTTATTGTATTATCAACATATAAAATATTATAACTCCTTATTTATACACCTGTTTAAATTCTATATGTGTTTGAAAATAATTTAAGGTCCTTTCCTTATATCATTTCTTTTTTGTTTTATTGCTTCGATTATAAAAAAATATTGATAAAAAATATTGATCGAAACAAAAGATTTAATCATAATGATAAAATATGATAGGTCAAGACATTACAATGTTTATTAATTTATTTATGAAGCTGAAGGTGACAAACCATGATCAATCTAAACAAAATCTACAAGCAATACAAATTCATGAAGATGGTATAAAATACGCCCCACCCGGAAATTTCAGAGTGGAATCAGGTGCCAAGGAGTAGTGAGTATCCTCGTTAACAATTCATGTCCTTCGTGAGCACTATGAAGATTCTGCGGATATATTTAGTTTAAAAACAAAGGCTATAACAGTAAGTATGAAAAAGGTCAGTCAAAATAAGATCTCATAACAAACTTTATTTGCTAACAATGTCGTTATTAAAATAACAGAATTTACGAAGTGTCGATATTAATTGAGGTTTTTGAAATCATGAACTTTTTTGTCATTAGCTTTCCTCGAACAATTTGATCGAAGTATATAAATAAAAAGGATACATATTTTATATGTTGACATACCTCTTAAGATTAAGAAATCGTAGAGGATTAAACACAAGAAATGCAGAAAACAATACGGTTTCGTGTTACCCTCTATTTGAAAACCTGCACAACAGCTCTTGATTAATTAGAGGTAAAACAGGTGTAACTTAGATTCAAATGTGAAAAATAAGCTCGCCGAGTGATATTTTGTGAGATTAGAATCATTGGTCCTTTTCTGCCTACCATCAATGTCCACTTCCTCTACGAGGTCAGTGAGCTCCTGGTCAGAGGGGTTTTGACCAAGTGACCTCATAACTGTCCCTAACTCGTCGTTGGATATTGTTCCTGACCCATCTTTATCAAAGAGACGAAATGCCTCTTTAAACTCTGAAAAGACAATAAAGATTTTTTAAAATTTATTTATGAGATATATATCTCTAAAAAAACAAATTTAATTTTTTTTTGTCTCATATTATTTTCTTTTAAAACAGCTCTAAACTAAGCTTGCATTAACAATAGGACAATATTTATTGAGCATAAAATATATCATTTATAAATAATACTTAAAAAGTTTAAAAACATGGATTAAAAAACAAAGCGAGATAGAACTCAGCAAACCTCAAACCTTTTTCTCATATGGGTAGTTAAGATTTCATTTAATTGTGTCCTGATTTCCTGCCTAGATATTACTTTCACAAATATCAATACTTTGAGAACAACAATCACAAACTACAGCAAATTGTTCCAAAGCTTATAAAAGCAAAAAGATTGTGAAAATAAGACCAAAGCTATGAACATCAAATTATATCAGACTCCAACGACAAAAAGGAGTAAACCAGCTTCGACTTAAATATCATCTTTATTATCTATAAAAGCTTTTTTTCCAAGTCAAATAAAAATACAAAACATGAAATAAAAACCAAAAGAATCTGTAGACTATATGGAAACAGATTTCCATAATAAGTAAAACATTCATCCTGGGGTCTGGCCACTAAGTCAAGGTAACTTTTTGGAATATCTTGTTCAGTGTCCCAGAAAACAGTACAAAAATCCTATGTTTATTAAACACTATTTAGCACTCTATGGACCTCCATTTTTAAATGCAAAAATTATTACAAATTACTGTTGCCTAGTAAAACCCTGCAAAGATATGCATCAAATCTGAATTTATTTTTTATATATATGAGCAACCGGTATGACAATACACCAGAGTTTTTGTTAACATGTCTGACAGAGGGACAAACAAGATCATAACAACTCTTCACTAATCGACCATGGTTGTTAATTTTTTTTTCTAAATAAGTTGTTGAATGTAATTAAGAGTAAGGGATAGTTTTGTCCAAATATGGACTTTTTCAAACAAGTTAGGAAACACAACTTCAAAAGTTTCGAAATGAATGTGAAAATTAAAAGATTATTTGTCAGTAGAATAAAAATGTAGACATAACAAAAAGTATTTTAGCTCCAACGTCCGTTCAAACTATATATATCAGGAGCAGAGCAGACTGTCAAGCAACATAAAGATAATATGTTATATTCAGAATAATATTTTATAAGTGTACAAAGTATTTTTTGATAAAGATAAGTCAAGTTTGCTTGTACTAATACTGGTTACAGGTATAAAAAGGACTTTTTTGTAATCTTACAATGTAGATACAAAGGGTTAAGATTATATTAATTCGGTATACTATATAACAGGTTATGTTGGATGAAAATAAAGGTTTAATCTAATTAAGCCATGCATTACACAACATCTGGTCTCAAATATCCGAAGAAATAAATTACTGTGTATTTAACTGTTTATAAAGTACATGACTCCTCTGAACTTTCCCCTGTTAGACAGATCCTTATTTGACTTGAATTTTTTTAAAAAAAATATCAACATAAGCTTATTATTCAGAATTAAAATAGATTTGGGACCATATTTTTGTAATGTTTTACTCCGCCAACTTTGATGACCAGCAGTAAATCTTCTTACGACTTAGAGTTGGAACTGACATGAGAAATCTACACAGGAGAAATATACAACCTTCTATCTGCTCCTCTGTCAGGTTCTCCAAAATCTCCGTATCTTCAGCGTTCTGTAAAATCAAACATCCTCCATTCAAATGTAATTCCTAGAGTGAAGTTGTATTTATTGTGTTTTGTTCATGATTAAACATGAAACAATTATTGATTTTGATAGATGTCAAAGAGGCCAATAACAGTGCTTTTTTTAGTACTCGCTGATAAAAAAAAATTAACTACAAATGCATTCTGCTAAAAATTTCCTACTTTCATTAAATTTTTATTGAATAATATTTAGAACAGAAAACAGCAAAATAACAATAGAATATTGCAGAGAGTCAGCACAGTATTGAATTTTTATAATCATTGTGCGCCTCGAGGATTTTAAAAGTTTATCTTTTAAATGAATGCCTCAAATAATTCAGGCGGAAAGTTTAAATAGTTTCATGTGGTTAATGATTAATTTCAAGATATTTGATTGTATTTATTTTAACTTTAAAGATAAGAGATATCAGTCAACTGTTTCATAAAAAATATATTTGTAAATTCATTGTCGAAGCTAACGATATCTTAAACAATTTAAAAATGAATCATTTGAATTTTTCTGACAAACTTTTATATTAAAATAAATCCTTACCGCAACTTCACAGTCTTCCATTGCAGAAATATTTAAGAAAGGAGAAAATGGGAAGAAATTACACAATAACAAACATATAATTATTGAATGCTGTCCCGCCTTGCTGCTTGCATTTTGTATTCATATGCAATACATTCTGACGTGAAAAGTGTTTTCTTTCCTCAATAAATAAACATTTATAAGCTGTTCAATGAAAGGCCTAAAGGCTGTAAACTTGAATAAAATTTTACTGGAGTAAAAATCCATTGAATTGAATCAATAATGAAAGGTATATATTTGCTGTTCGCGTCAATTGAATAAGTGTACAACTGCCGCTTCTCAGAGAATAATAGAATAATCTATACAAACCATGGTTGGCGAGTTATCCTTTTGAATGGAATTAATAATTGCATTAGCGATGGTTTCCGGCCTAAGTCATGTTTACATGAAGAGAAGTGGTCTGTTTTGGTACATACTAATACGACGAATTTTAAAAATCGTATAAACTGTTAGGAAACAATACATGACGCGCTAGGGTAGAGGAGAGGCTTTAGTGATCAGACCTCTTTATACATGGGATCAATACCTTGTATAGAGTCTATTGTACTTTATGCCAAATAGATATTTAAACATTACTAATTAATTAAGTATAGAATTTAACACATGTGGAACGGGATATCTTACTTAGTACTTGTGGTTCATATACACGTGTAACGTGGATAGAAATTTGGATGGAAATGATAAAAATTCAACAAAATATTTGAATATAAAAAATCTACCAGTATTAAAGAGATTAAGAATTAAATTTCCATATAATATCGGGTTTAAACGACTATATAAGGAATTTGAATAACTATTAATATGGAACGCCAAATTAACATATATTCAAATATTTGTACCTATCTTCATATAATTGCACCAATTTTCAAATAACTGTACCTATCTTCAAAAGAATTAAAGATAGGTACAATTGAATTAAAGATAGGTACAATTAAATTGAAGATAGGTGTATCTCTAAATAATTATACCTAGGTACAAATGAATTATATATATGGAATTACAATCTTCAATTCAATTAAAGATAGGTTCAATTGAACTATACCTATCTCTAATTCATTTGAAGATAGGTATAATTGATTTAATGATAGGTACAATTGATTTGAAGATATGTTCAATTAAAACATATCCACATATATTAAGACTTCAATTATACCTAGGTTCAATATCGTTTTGTGTTGTTGGAAAATTTGAATAACTTGGAGACAATATTTTGTAATACGCACAGAATTACAGAGCGACGACAACAAGGATGAAAGGAGAAATAAAGGTTAATTCAAAATGTGTAAAAAGCATCATATACTTATTAAAATACACATGTATATATGTAATGTTGGTATATCTTTTATGGCAGCCAGATAAAGATGAAGATAAACTTTCGCGCCAGACTTGCTCATGTCTCTATGCTTTAGTGCTCTCTTTCATACTTTTTGATAATGTCAAACACACTTTTTAATATGTTTGATAACATTTAACTATGACAGAGAGAAGAGGACAGCAATACAAATGATAGAATTTTAAAAAATATGTTTATAAAAAAAAAATAAACAATAAAACATAGAGACTTGAGCAAGTCTACTTTCGCGCCAGCTGTGACGTTTCGGAAATGACGTATGATAAAGGGAACATACAAGGTAATTAAATCTACATGCTTAATAAAAAGTTCAATGGTAAGGAACATCCTGATTTTTATATTATAATATGGATAACAAAATACTTACTTATAACTATTATAATTTGATATCATTCATACAAAATGAAATGACATGCGACTATGCAACACGCATCGGTTGACTTGCAACATTGTCTTACATATGGTGCTTTGTGTCTTATTCATGCCGACATGCAAGTGTGTCGACGTGTAACATAATAATGTCAACGTGTAACTATAATGTAATACTTTGCATTATTCGACCGTTTTCATCTAAATTATGATTTTCCTTCTATATTATATGATTTTCCACTTATACATTGTATATTTTGCCATTGTATTGCATCATTTTCAATATAATTTTTCATTCGCATTCTACACTTTTTCATTTGTATTTTTTTAAATAATTATTCATATTAAATGATTTTCCATTTACATTCTATAATATATATTTTATAACTGCATAATGTTTCATTTGTATGTTTGAATTTTTTTCATCTGTATTATATAGTTTTTATAAATTTTGAAAATATTATGTATTCGCTAACTGTTTTAAAACATTCATTCACTGATTAGAGAAGTCAAAAATTAATTTGGATGAGTTACTTCTCTTTGCCAATATAAGATTTTTAAAAATTAGGGAAAAGTCTACTTAAAGTTATTAAGAAATCTTTTACAAATTAAAAGAAGAATATATATCATATTTAACATAACTTCTATCACCAAAATCATCTAGAAACTTGTAATCAGTTGTCAAATATATAACAGAGGTAAACAACTGTGAACATTCATCCATGCGTCGTTCAAATTAAGAAATGATTTTGAAGAGGAATTTCTTTGCATATATTGGTACTTGAAACACATCAATATTTAAGATTTCAAAACAGTAAGGATACAGTTATTAAATTTTATTGGGCAAATTTCAGACTAATATATATTTAAAATAAGATAACTTCTATCACCTAAATTCATCTAGAATCTTTTAATCAGATGTGAAATACGCGATTCATTAATCAGAGAAGCTAAGCTTTACTTTTTGTAGTGTTACCTCTCTTTGCAAATGTACTTGGAAAAAATTTCATTATGAAAGACAAAAATCAAGGATAGATTGTACTAAAAATATATTTAGAAAATATTTGCAAATTTACAGTAGAATATAAGATATATATTAAATAACTTCTATTAACTAAATTCATACAGAAACTTAATTTTATTTAGGTGTGAAATACTCAATAGGAGAAAAACAACTTTAAACATTAATTCATGTGTCGAACAAGTCAAGATATAATTTTGAAAAGTTATTTTCTTTACAAATTTACACAAAAATTAACCAAAAAAATTTCAAGAACTAACTTTTACTACAGTTATTCAGAAAATTGCTTTAAATTAGCATGCTTTCAGTTACACTGCTTTGCATAAAAGCAAGCAAAGAAATTTAACGTGAAACAAACCCTCTCTTTATATGAAAATGTGCCTGTACATAAATCATATTCATTACTCAAAATATCTTACTTTTTTATGTAAATTATTATCCCTTCAGTTTGAGAGCTTTTTTGTATTAATTATTTTCTTCTATTTCTCAAAATGTAATATATTGTTTTCCTACAATATAAATATCGAGTCAGAAAGAGCTCATTTAAAATTTTGATTTTCATTTTCGTGCAACAAAGCATCTCTATCTTTGAAGAAAATAAATCTAATCTGATTTTTTTAAAGTTTTGATTGAAATATTTAAAATATCAGTTTCAAACTTCTCATATTTTATCCAGTCTTTGTTTCATTTATGAAAGTAGAAAATTGAAACTTTCCAGTAATTCGCTGCTTTTGTTTTTAAAATAGGGAAAACATCATAGAATGACATTTTGTATAAACTTCAAAGATGGTGGTAATGAATACATGAATGCAATGTGTCTGTAAAAACTGGTTTATTGTCTTTCTTTTCCAATTTATCAATTAAATTAAAACAATTTTTTTTACATAAAGAGTTTTCGTTTGCAACAATATCAGTTAGCTAGGAATATGATTCAGGACAAATATTTGCATGAAATGAAAATATATGAGTGTCATTCACACGATGCTCCTGTTGTTTCGGGAATCTTTCACTACTTCTGTGTCATCATTGTTACAAATTCTACAAAAAGTCAATGTGAAGATACTATTGATTATAATACTGGAATAAATTTATTAATTATTATATGTCTTTCTTGGTTTGTTTGCTTTTTATAAACTAACGCATAAAAAATTAAATCAAAACTCGACACAGTGAGTCTGCTATAGACAAATTATAGAGCAACCAAAAGGAGTACCTTCGTAATTCACTTTTCCATCACCATCAACATCTGCCTCCCGGATCATCTCGTCCACTTCCTCGTCTGTTAGTTTTTCTCCAAGACTAGTCATAACGTGACGTAATTCAGCAGCGCTAATGTCGCCACTTCCGTCTTTGTCGAACACCTTGAATGCCTCTCTTAATTCTTCTTCTGAGTCTTCGTCTTTCATTTTCCTTGCCATCATTGTTAAGAATTCAGGAAAATCTATTGTACCATTACCTACAATTTCAATGAACTCTATCTTTAATCTGTATAATGCACTATGCATGTTAAAATACAATATCCGTTAGATTTACTAGGTTTGATGTAACGTTGTATGAAGCAAATAATGTTAAAATCAGAATCATTACCGTCAGCATCCACTTCGTTGACCATGTCCTGAAGTTCAGCTTCAGTGGGATTTTGACCCAGTGACCTCATTACGGTTCCTAGCTCTTTACTACTAATTGTGCCATCGCCATCTTTGTCAAATAAGCTAAATGCTTCCTTAAATTCTAAAATTAAGACAACGATAAGAAAATTAGCAGATTTTTTTTTCTCAAAATGAAAATCATTCAATTTGAGAGAAGATTACAAATATAACATGAATATTCAAACAACTGATATTATTAGTATCATACATGTATATCTATTTCCTTTTAAGACAACCTTTAGATATTTCATGACTATCATGAATTGACCAAACTGTAGACTACTCTATCACAGCAGTCAGCTTTATATAAATTTTTATGTCTTTACCAAAGACTTTGTATGGATCGTCTAAATTGATATTCATAAACATGCATAACTGTAAACTGCATTCACAAACAAATATTTCAATATATAGACTAGTCTTTCCTTTATCAGACGAAATTACTGAAATCTTACATTGCTATAACAAAACCTTGCAAGTACTCGACATTAAAGTTTTTTTTTCCATAATGGGACTTTACTTTCTACTGCTTATTTTTCTGAAGCACAAACCTGCTATTTGTTCTTCTGTTAATTGCTCCGCCTGAGATGAAAGATGAAAGAAATTTAAATATAACTTTAAACCGTTGGGTATTCTTGGTATTTCTTCGTAATTCTAAAACCAAGCGAGATATGCCATTGCGCAAATATACCAAATGTTTCTATGCATCGAAGAATATATCATTATTTCTTTTTTATATTAGCAAATGCAAATGAATTTTAAGTAAAACTTTTATTAATTTGCTTTGATTTTAAAAGAATTCCTAAAAAATG